TGTGCTCTTCAGCTTAGCAACCAATCAGAACGTGGCGGGAATTATTATGTCAGCCATCCTTGTACGTAATGGCGGCCGGCTTTCTTCGTTCTGTGCTTCTTTTAGCTATTTCTTTTGTGTAGCTATGTAATTAATGTTTCAATGTGCTAAGATAACGCAGTTAGTGTAATGTTCCACATGTTGGTGTGAAATTTACTTCGAATCAGCATTGTTTTTTGGGTTTTTACTGCTTCTACTCTAGTCAATGTAATTCTTCAGTCAAGCTGGTTAGTCTTATGTTTTAAAATGGAAATCGGTTTGGTTTTGACTTGTTTTCTAAATATCCAAAGCCGAAGTTCGTTTTTTCTTAGCTGAAATAACTGTTGCTGCCTCCTGTGACGCGCGCTATCTAAAAAGGACAGTGGTATTGTTTCTCGTTAAATTAGTAAACTGTTTTGATCGTAAATTACGTATCAAAACTACGATTTACACTTTAATTGAATCTACTCCAGTTAAGGTGATATTTTACTGAGTTTTTTGGCTTTTGTGTATTTATTACACTCGGAAGCATTCTTGGTCGTTATCAAAGTACTTTAGTTAAGGTTTGACATCTTGCTAGAGTTGTCTTGTCGTTCATACTGTGATCATATTGGTGTTACACCTTGATCATACTAAAATGGTTGGTAGTACCCACAAATGTGGACAACCAAACTGCTTGTTCCCTGTGGAGGAGGGAATGCAATGTGACGAATGCAATAAATGGTTCCACAAAATGTGAACCCGTTTAAGTCCCACTGCATATAAAAGATGTTCGAAGCCTAACTCACATTGGCTTTGCATGTTTTGCTGTGCCAACAAGGCATTGCTAATACAGGAGGCTATGAGCCTATTGGCTTTGGCCTGTAAGAAGAATGATGGCAAATGTGCCGACAACACGGGCACTGACAGTGACGAATGTGTCAGTGTTGTTACGCAACGCCTCAAAAAACCGACTCTGAACGACGCAAAAGTGAAATCTCCGTTGATATCAACAGGGGGAGTAGTACCACCTAGTACTGACATTGTTAATCATGCACCTTTAGTGGGCACCGACGATCTGGATAAAACAGTCACCGTTCCAAATAGTCCCAGTGTTACTAGGGATGAAAAATGGACTACGGTACGTAGAAAACGAAATGAAAAGAAAAAAGCTGTAAGCAGTACACAGGTAGTTAGTAACTCAATGGTGGACTCAAATTGTGAGCCACAAGTTACACTACCAAGATCTGATCGTAAGAGTGAAACCCATCCTGGCGTAACTGCGAAGAAAAATCTAATAACATCGAATATTATTGTGAGCAAACTGCGGGAGTCAAGTGACCCTGATCCGAAAGTTAGACACGCGCATGACTTAGAAAAGCTAGGAGAATACATTCGTAGTATTTTACCAGATAACTCCAAAGGAGTTCAGGTTAAAAAGTTAGTAAGAATAGGCAAGAGGACCGAGGACAATGTTGAACCCCGTCCATGCAGACTCCTTAAGGTAATCCTAGGATCAGAGAAGCAACGGGATCTCTTGTTGAGTAGCGCTCGTTGTCACGACAATTCTGACATCCGAGTTAGGCCTGATATATCTCTCGAAGATAGAATAAAAAGGAAGAAAGCACTAGCTGAACTTGAAACCCGTCGGCAAAACGGCGAGGAAAATCTCCGGTTAGTGGGTTTTCGGATAGTCAGGTCTTGGAAGCGAATGCTACCAAGGCCTGTGTGGATAGGCTGTTCTACTTAGGAGTTTTATATGCCAACGCTCGTAGTCTACGAAATAAGTTCTATGAACTAGAAGCATTAGTGGACAGGGTAAAGCCACTCATAGTAGCAGTGACAGAAACTTGGTTAGTCGATGACTTAGACATTACTCCAGAATTATCCGGATATCACTGCATCAGGAGTGACAGACATAGATGTAGGAAAGGAGGCGGCGTCCTGTTATACATAGCTAATAGCATAAATATCCGCTTCTCTACTAGAGATTCCCATGATAGCGGTACTTGTGAAGTCATTAGCTGTAAGTTGGCTATCGGATGTAGTACATTTATGCTCGGTGTCATCTATCGCAGCCCAATCTGCCTAGCTGATGACTTTGTTTTAGAGCACATTCATCTTTGGAGTGAAAATACCAGATGTTTGATAATAGGAGACTTTAACGCACCTGATATTAGTTGGACTGATATGACCACAGCAGGATCTATAAACTCCTTTGATAGTAAGTTCCTGATAACAATAATGGAGCATGCACTAGTACAGCATGTATCCCAACCCACACGTTTTGGTGTTAACCAGGGTTCTTCTCTGCTGGATTTGGTAATCACTCATGAGACTGAGGATATTGTCGACTTCAATATTCTCCCGCCGTTAGTGAACAGCGACCACGCTGTTTTGTCATTCACGTTTCGTACTAGGGACATGTTATACGATCAGGTTACACCTCGCCCAAATGTATGGAAAGCTAACATATCAGCCATTCAGGAATGTGCTGCTAAGACAAATTGGTTAGTAGATACTAGCATATCAGTTGAAGAAGCATGGTCTGTATTTAAAGGTAAATTTAGACTAGTTACGTCCCCGTTCATACCATACCTGGTACCGCGAAGACCGAATAATAGTCCACCATGGATAACTAAAATGGTCAGGAAACTCCTTAGAAAAAGGAAGAATCACTGGGATATGTTCATCTCTACCGGCTTAGAACAATACAGATCCAGTTATTGTAAGATTAGGAATGCCTGTAAAGCGTTAATAAGTAAGACTAGACTATCATACGAAAAACAATTGGTTAGGGATTCTAGATATAGTCCGAAACGGTTATTCTCGTATATAAAAAGGCGAACTAAGAGAAGTGATGGAATTCCATCACTTTTGATACGAGAAAATCCGTTAATCTTAGCAGACAATGATGCCGAAAAAGCTGAAGCATTATCGGAATACTTTAGTAAAGTGTTTTCTATCGGTAATGAGGAACGACCAATGATTCGTTGCGACCGTGACGGCTCGCTGATGGATCCTGTAGTCATTGAGAAAGATACTGTTTTAAGGCTACTACAACATCTCAAACCTGATAAGTCCAGTGGTCCTGACGATATTCATCCTAGGATTATGAAAGCCATTTCACATGAAATTGCTGAACCATTAGCGATACTATTCGACATGTCTCTGAGACAGTCCAAACTGCCTAGAGACTGGAAAGACGCCATAATAAGGCTGGGGGTAGGGATTTAGTTAGTAACTATAGACCCGTTAGCTTAACTAGTGCAGTTGTAAAACTGATGGAGAAAATCATTCGGATAGCTGTCATAAACTATGTTGAAGGGCAAAATCTTTTCTCCAGGGCACAACATGGTTTTCGGAAATGCCTATCTTGCTTGACAAATCTTCTCGTTGCACGAGAAGATTGGGCTGCGGCAAAGGATCGGAATACTCCTGTGGATGTGATTTTCATAGATCTAAGTAAAGCCTTTGATAAGGTTTCCCACTCTGGTCTTAAATTCAAACTGAAACGTTTTGGAATCCATTATACAGTCGTCGATTGGATAAGTAACTTTCTCCATGACAGGAGACAAAGGGTAAGGGTTAATGGGACTCTCTCCTCGTGGGTACCTGTAAAAAGTGGGGTTCCCCAAGGTACAATCCTGGGTCCTCTTCTCTTTTTACTTTATGTAAATGAATTGCCAACTGTAGCAAAATCATCCGTTCTACTCTTCGCTGATGACATAAAGATTTGGAGACCCATACATAGTATGTCGGATAGGATAGTATTACAGGACGATCTTAGCTCATTGGTGGCATGGTTAGATAGGTGGTCACTAGAAGTAAATCCTAATAAGAGTGTAGTGATGCAGTTAAATAACTCTGATGAATCGTATGACTATACGCTACGTGGATTCGTGCTACCAAAATTAAGAAACTATAAAGATTTAGGAGTCATATTAAGCAATGATCTCAAAACGACTGGTCACTGTAAGGCTGCTGCTGCGAAAGGCTATAGGGTATTATGGTCAATTCGTAGGTCTTTCCAGTATTTAGATGATGAAATGTTTAGATTACTATACCCGATTTATGTGCGACCACATTTAGAATACGGGATTCAAGCAGCGTGTCCTTGTTTCAAATATGAAGCAGATATGCTAGAAAGAGTCCAACGACGAGCTACTAAAATGGTACAAGGTCTATCTGGCCTATCTTATGAAGACAGACTGAGACACCTTAACTTATTTCCGTTATCTTACCGTAGAATAGGGGGTGATCTAATATTGGCCTATCGTATAATGAACGATGACCTTGGTATTAACATGTCTTATCTTTTGCTCCCGTCTAGAACCGATCATTTGAGAGGACATTCGAAGAAAGTTCAGAAACCGAGATCAAACCGTTTACGTCTGGAGTTCCGTTTCTCGCACCGAGTAGTGAATTACTGGAATTCTCTACCGGAACACGTAATATCAGCACCATCTGTAAATATATTCAAAACGAGATTGGACCTCCACTGTATTACAAACTGCAAGGATTAATATAGGTCGACAGACCTCCTATCCTTATTACTGAAGACTAACTGTCCGCATGTTCATTCCTAACCGTACTTTATGATGTTATCGGCAAAATGAAAGGAACCAATTTACGGTTTTTAATTTTCTTCAGTATTGCGGACAAAAATATCCCACAACGAGTCAAACTAATACTTAGTGCCTAGCAGTATGGGATGCCAGTATTGTTTTCGAAAGTACCCAGGCTTCCGACAACCATAGACGAAGTCACAGATGCTACCAATCTATTGCAGAGGGTTTGTTATGAAAAAATATGCCACATAGCAGTAATGGAGGGGTTATACGCATTACGTAGTGCGTTAAAGCAAGCTTAACATTGAAAAGCCGGAAATCTGCTATCAGTGTGTAGTGTATGTTTGGTGTTTTAGCCACAAAAGGAAGCCGAAGTGTCATGATCAGAAAGTAAAAAGGTAACTAACTGTTATTAAGCTCACCTTTTTATAGACCATAATTCACCACTCGCAGATTTGTGTTTTTTTACGGTGTCATGTCAACCGTTATCGAATATGTTCACCCTTACGATGAAAAGTACCTGCAAATTCTCACCTTCATATTCGAATTATTTTGGGACAACTGTCTTCCAGTTTGAGTGCTTCGTACGCCCTGGGAGACTAGATTCCTACATTATTCACAGTTCCAGTATAACTTTCTCACTCAGTAAGTTCAAAGTAAACACTAGTCTTTCTAGATAAGCATGTTAAACTAATATCCGTATTCTCTATTTCAGTTGATCGATGAAGACATGTACCACGTGCATCTGCTGTATATTGCTATTTTACTCCAATTCTAACTGTTATATATCTTCTGAAAAATAAAATTGCTATATGCAGCAAATACAGACTTATTGTTTTGATGGTGATAGGTGGGTTCATGGGATTTTTAGCAGGACTGTAGTAATATTCTCAATAAAAAGCCGAGTGCGTAGACCAATCTAAAGTACCATACAGGGTGCCTTTGAATTACTCGTCTTCCATTAGTGTCGGTAGAAGCATTACTTGCTTATCATATGACATTTGAATAAGAAGCTATGAGATTAGACGCAGGGACGGTTAGGATGTGTAACGCGTGTCCATCCATCAGTTTTCGTGGCAACTCATGGTGGCTAGAATAAGTTGTGGGAGAACCCGAGCCTGTAGGTTTCCCAAGAAAATGACGGATATATGCACCAAATCACCTTATGAAGAGCGCCTTTAATCACTTAATCTCTACTCATTAAAGTATAGACGTCTTAGAGGTGACCTATTTACTTACAGGATCCTTAACACTTCTGGACATTCTCTTAAACACCTACATGAGCTTAGTCCCAGATACTAGAGACACGACATAGCAGAATGGACTGTAGACGCAACTTCTACTCCTTAAGAGTTGTCGGATGCTGGAATTCGCTGCCCGCCGAACTAGTCCAAGCGACTTCCCAGGAGTCCTTTGGGAGGCGACTGGATCTTTTATTGTTAACATACCTAGGTTCCTGCTTGGAGGTTTTGGTGATCCCCTCCTACTAGACACGGAAGCCTGAACACATGAATTAGGTGATGAGAGGCTCGATTATCACATGTTTCTTGCAACGATTAAGTATGTAAAACAAAGTAGCATTAGGTTCAAAAATTTATTCGAGAACTTTCATTAAGAATCGAATATCAAACAAAAGTTTAAACGGAGTTCCAGTCTACAAGTTGCATTTGTAATGTTAAGCTGCAGTTTTTGTTGTTTTTCCAAACGAAGGGTAAAAGAAGTAACTCAAAAAGTACTGGAAGTGGTTGTGAAACTAAAATTGACGTCCAGCATCCTTTTTATAATCTGCTGTTAGTTGGGTCTCCCGTAAACAGATCCATAGGGCCATAGTTCTAAGGGTGAAACAGTTCTTAACATCTGTGAAGACTCAGTCCTGTTGCATTCTAAATGAGAAAACAGTAATGAATTTAGTCAGAAATGTGGAATAGATAAATAACCAAATTACATGTTTTTTAGCAAAGAATTTATGCAGTTGTGATTTACCTTTAGTTCATGAATATTCGGCCAGGTCAGCTATTACTTGTGCAAAGCATAACATGGACTTAATACCGTATCTCAATGCTTTTATTATTTTGCTCTCATTTAAGTATTACCATGTATCTGCATCTAGTTTAACAGGGAGACATACAAGCAGAGTTAGTGTTTGATGAACTAAAAGTCCTAGTAGTCAAAAAGATTCTTAACATTTGTCCACAGCCAACTGCATTTAATTGAGATACAGAACACTCATCTTCTAAGACTGAATACTGCTCTTCTGTGGGCAAATAAAAGCTCACACACTTAGCTATCCTGCTACCGATGTTATTGCTGGGGAAATTGTTTAATGACAGTGATCATGAAATATGGTCAGTGATAGATGTACAATCTAGAAATAAACACCAAACATACTTATCGCTATCTTATAATGTATGACAGCAACAGTACCAAAAGCACTTTTTTCCTATTTTTAATCAGACTGATTTGAATTAGTATACTCATCAGAAACAGGCAACTCTACTTACTAGACTGATCTGTTTCGTTACAGACTTCAAGCACTATACTTAAGTATACCATAATTCTTTCAACCAAACTGAATTATACGACAACCAAGAATACTAAACTAAGCAAGTGTCATAGTTATTGTTTCATTTGTACAGGCATATTGCTTAAAGTATTTAAATGGACATAATTAAGACTATAAAACAAAAACACGAAATGTAGGCCAATTGAACTTACCGAACGGAAGACAAGGAATATATATATATTGCTTTCCGACTGAAGACAACAGGCATTTGTTCATAAAAACATAGTTTATAGTACAATAAACCTTTCTACAGTAAAATCATGCACTGACAGTCTATCTGGAAACAATCAACTATGTGAATAAACTCACTATAACTTGAGATATCATCCCAGCATGCAATGGACGTGCAGTGTAACGCAGTCGGACGTGGCAAATAAAAGTATTAAAAAAAAGATCAAAATTAGCTATATAATCTAGTTATTTAATTAAAAATACATTATGAAATGACAAAATCTGTGGTTACTTGAACGCACATATGACGGATACATTAAGTTTACATGGTTGCGTTGCGGATAAGATCACCCGTACATCTTCGAACTTCGATGCTGACCACATTAGTTGTAGTGGACTCATTTAGCTAAAGGCTCTCGGTCATGCATCCTCACCAGGTCACGAGTGAGAACGCCTTGCTCAACTTCCTCTGTCAGTCTAGATCAGTCGATTCTCGATATATTGATAGCCTATCGTATATACCTTCGAACCTCCTCAATTCTGACTTTTGACTTCACTAGGTGGGTACGATTCCTAGTAGAAGGTGTTGCTGTTTAAAGCGTTGTCAAACTCCAAATACCTGTGGCATCACGGGATAATGAAGTAGTGGTCAAACTAACTCAAATAGGTCTCCAATCATTCTACATAGATCATCAACGTTGGTTATCTAAAACGTAAAAGGTTATGATCGACTGCCCATCACCTAGAAATTAATCGGCTGATTGAAATACCCCAACGACAATTGGCAAGGTCACTTTCAGGTCCCAATGTATTACAACGAACTGAGGTCTTTCGACTTGTGTTACTCGGAATATTCATTGCCATAAAAGCCTATATTTGATGACTTGGTTGTAATGAGACGACGTTTTCGTGCAACCAGCCTTACGGTTTAGTACGTATATTTTCTTACGTCACAACGTATTATCCCGAACCCTCCACACAACTTATGGAGGACACGATAAAAACCTTTACAATGAACTTCAGTATCTGTTGATAAGGACAGGGATGGAGAAAATGATACAACCGATCGAGTCAGAGCCGTATATTTAGAAGCTAACATCTCCGTAAAATTTCTCACTACAAAGTCAAACAAAACATCCTTGAGATTATAATACAACGTCCGACAAACAACGACCACAACGAGGCTTCTTTAATGTCTAGTAACTGGTTGAAAATAAAGGAATTCGGAAGAGCGATTGGGTTCTTAGAATAGAATAACAACTAACATGTGTGGGAAGGATTTTCAGTTTACTTCTTTTAATCTCGCCTCCTCATTCCATGGTTTATTGACTGTATTTTTGCCTTTTATCCTGTCGAAAACCAGGAATGTTTTGATGAGTCTATATGTACAATTGTCAAAACCCAAAATCAAGGCGTATTTAATAAGCTTATATATATATATATTTCTCGCGAAATCAACTAGTATATAACCTAGATGTGTACATAAACGTTTCGTTGTCGTTTAATGTATATACTCCCATACACCCATTTTCCTCACGGTTTCGTTGTTTGTTTAGGCATGTAGCTAAAGCCGCTCAGTCACGCGTTCACACAAAATCGCGAGTACGCCGTGCTAGGCATCCCTTGCACCTGCTAGCCATCCTAGACAAAACTCTTCTCGGCTTGCCGTTAGCTTTACAAATATATCTTCGAACCGTTTCACTTCTAACTTCTAGTCTGAGATGGCGTTTATCACTTGATTGTGAAGGTGTTACGTGTAAAGGCGTTGTCAAACTCAACATAACCAATGTGAAAAAATTAAGACAACCACGGCTGACCAAACCCTTAGTTTTGTACATTTTTATTTTCTATTCTATGACTATTCAGAGAAGAAAAGGCTATCATACGTTGTAGAACGTACCCAAATGTCAGAAGGGCGTTTATCAACACCAAGCTCTTTGTGTACGAAACTTTCTCTGGTTAAAATTTTAGAGTCCGCTCTATTGCACCAGCGAGTAATGAAATGTAGTGCCAAATAAGTCCCTAAAAAATGGTTTTTACGGGTCTTCGACATCGGCGCTGTCCTCATTGGTTTTACTAGATACGGCCGTAGGTAAAGGCGCCTGTTCGGGCATCCGAAGCAGATCATGTTTGTGTATAAGGCGCTTTAATTCCCGTTTGACAACTAGTCAGCTGAGATGTGTGCACCTCAAAACTCTCACAACTATTTAAATATGTTGTTACGGAAAGAACAAGAACGGGTAGTAAACAGAGGAGTATCAAAGCTTCGTCTTTTTGGGGGAAGCCGAGAAACTGCAGGTCACATGCTAGATTTGTGAGTGCACAGGTGTACTTTTGTAAGTACAGTGCTTTCCATTGAAATTAAGTAGTTAGCTAAGAGATCCATGATTGGATACTTTCAGAGGTGTTTTTGCGTGCCATGAAAGATTTCGGTGGCCACTGTAACGAAAAGAACAAAATGAAAACCCCTCCAAATCATTTCATTTGACAACAACGTAAGTTGTTTGTTTCTTCCTTCTGTCGTATATGTTAACCTTTTTTCAGATCCCTTTTTACCTTAATTTATATTATTCAGTCTTCCTAGTCTGAACTTTTATTATAAGACTTTGTTTAAAGGCTTACGTTTTGTTACTTAATTTTTCTTTTGCATGTTACTGGATTATTGACAAAGTCAAGGCACGGCTCGGTGTGCGACTGTTAACTATCGACTGTTTTCTTTGAAAGGTTCCTAGAAGCCTTACAGATAGATATATGATCCCATCTTGTTGAGAGTATCTTTATTGATTCTCAGGCATCCAATTCTTACCTATTAACTGTTCGTTTTATCGTTGAATACATAACTTCATGTTGGAGAGACTTTTAACTGTATGGCACAGGCTGTAACGTTTGAAGTATTTTGTACTTTTTATAT